TATGCACTACACATTCAAAAATCTCCAAAACCTAAAATATAAAAATTTCACCAATGAGGAAATGTCTGTATGTATGACCGTACATAGCTAGATAGTGAAGGTCCTGAAGGAGCAAGAAACCAAAGATAGAAACAATGGGTCATGAAGTTTCATTTAATTATAACTCTTGCCATCAACCTTGAGCAAGTAGTAATAGAATTTTGTATCTCATGCAGTACCCATTCTTGCTCATCAGACAAAAGGACGAACAAAGAATTTATAGGAAAGCTTATTTATTAAATGCACCATCAAGCCATCTCAAGTGAAATCTAGTCGAAAATCCTTATAAATGTATTCAATGAAAAGATTGGAAGGTTTAAGATTTGTCATGGATCAAAGGGAGGTATCTGTAAATCGAAGTTTGGGCATGCATGACATGAGCAGATAAATTCCTAATGAAAAGTTTCATGAAGGAAACAGAATAATAAATCTAGGATAAAATAGTTAGATTTAGGAGAGAAAAAACAAATCATAGATTCTTTCTACAGAAAACATCACACGTTAGTGGAGAAATAAACATAGAGAATCCTTTGAAGACATTAAGTACGCACAACAAAACTATAAGGCTGCGTTTGGGAACTTGGATTTGGATTTGAAAGGTTGATTTAAAATCATGGGATTTCAAATCTAGAATTTGAAATCCATGATTTGATAAAATCTTTTGTTTGGATGTCATCACTAAATGCAAGGATTTGAAATCACAGATTTAAAATCTGATGTTTGGATGCACTTTATTATACATGAATTTGGATTTGAAATTGGTGTTTTAAAAAATTTTATGCTCTCTCTTAACTCCTTAATAATTAAATCAAATGCGGACATTATGGTTTATATTGAGGAAAAAGTTAGGGTAAATTTCACGACCCCCTCAGAAGTTTGATCTCTTTATTAGCAATTATAAATACACATGCAAACATCTTGTCCTTCATGAATCGGTATGAGAGAATACAAAAAATAATAATAATGTCCAAAATATTTATTATTACGCCATTTTTTCATGGCTTCATCCAATACTACATCAACCTTCAATCTCCAAAGAACAAGAGTACTACTCCAATAACTAGCCATGATAAAAGACTCGACGAGTCAAAAGAGTTTAGCAAACACTCCTCATAAGAAGCTCTACACTCCACAATAATCCTTCATTTAAAACACAACATACCATAGGTAGTTGATAACCATGATTTGCTATAAGAAGTAACCATGATTTGCTACAACAAGCCAAATTACGACAACATAAACTATTAAAAGAAAACATATCTAGAATCCTCTATTTATCCTTCAAGTCTTCTCCTCTTTTCTCTCCAATGCGCCCAACTTCATGTCTCGAAGAATTTGAGTCCTACATTACACAATTTAGCATCAATTAGTCCATGGCACAAAAATCGAACTTCAAAGTTGAATCATGAAGACCATCAACCTTTAAAAAAAGAAAAAGAAAACAAGTACATGATTGCGTACTTTCTGTTTTCTGATGGAGGCACTAGTTTTCTCAACAAGGAGACCATGACAATTGTTGATGTTAGATTATCAAGGACAGAATTTAGGAAGAAGGTGACAAAACCAACCTGAGAAAAGCACACAGTGCCACTTTTTACTGGAAGTACCCTATACCACCATTTATAAGTTATCATGTGATATAGGAGTGTGTATCTGCATATTCAATGTACCTTGGAAGTATTTGGAAGTATATACTAACTGATTATTTATGTTATATGGATGCACACATACATACATATAGATAGTTCACCTTCTAATGCTGGAAGTCTCCCATCACACAATATCCAAACAAGAATACTAGTGTATTTACCACAAAACATTACAGTCAATCCAGCATCTGTGCACGCATAGTCTCAGTTTACTTTGAAATTCAGGCATTACCGAAGTAAAGTATTCAAGGTCCTTGCACCATGTTCAGGTTCTTATCAGAGGACAAACTGCTACTTAAAAGCAAGCTCAAACTCATTCTAGTTGATGTAAATTAAAGCGCTAATCTTTGTAGCATAATTCATGACTTCAAAAAACATGATTTTGAGGGAACAAATGGAACTCCAAGAATGAAAAATACATCAAAAGTGCGCACCTAAGGTTCTTCAGATATAAACTATGACACTAGCATGCAATTTGTTTTAGTGTTGCATTTTCGTTTCAGAAAGTAGATACACATGAAATATATGGGTTGAACATCTGTAAAGACCACTAAAGACAGTAGGCTCAAATAGTTCAGAAAGTGGAAATCAATCCATGTTCACCAAAAATAAATTGTCAAAAGTGTCATAAATGACACAGATAAACCTCCAGTTAAGGGACAGGGATAGATATTATATAATGTCAAGAGTCAGTAATACTATGATATGAAATTTCTAATGAGTTCAATCTTAACCATGATACAAAATTGTAAATGACATAAAATGTCAGCTACGACAATTATGGAAAACCAGAATACAGGCATTAAATCTAACATATAACTAAATCCAATAATGCACTGAAAAAATAATCACAGACAGATGCAAATGGTCTAAACAGTAATATTCACAACATTACTCTAGCTTTATTAGCAGCAGAGGGAAATGGAGATGCTTCAAGTAATCCAATACAGTAATATAATTGATAAAACTTATGTGCATTCATATGAAATATCAGGTGCCTGTTCTGTCTCACATTAGTCTTTCGTGATACACAAAATAAAATACATCATGTTGAATTGAAGTACTAAAATCCAATAATCTAACATCAGTTTCGATTATTCGAGGGATGCCTAAATGAGCTAATTCAACCAGTTTATGCAGCAACACAATAACAAAAATAGCAGCAAAGTCTTGAATAGTAGTCTCGTCTGGGGTAGAAATGCATTAAGCTAACAAATTAACATGTGAGCTCACCAAAAATATAATTCCTCAACTTAGATACAACATGGGGAAATTAACTTCTCGACTGTTCATTCTATCAAAGAAAATAGAAGAACTACACAGGAAGCCAGCAAACTGATCTCAACATTTGGTTTAGTACATAGTATTAACCACGACCATGTCTCATTCTATCTCTTAGAATACAACTGGATGAATTTCCGAAAAACAATATCTAAAGCATACAAAAGAATAAAGAACTGTTGATACTTACAACTAGAACTCATCTGTTGAATCCAAATCTTCATGACTCAAATCTTTTATACTTACAAAAGAATAAATTAACTTCCTATCTTCATGTAAATATCCATATTCTATCTGGATCCGATTTCTTTTCCCTTCAAGTATGGGTTTTGAGTTCTATATTCAGGCAAATAGAATTATTTATATGGGAGTGCATGTGTACACATATTCTCCCAAATTACAGTACCAAACAACAAAAGGCAACAGTCACTCAATCATCAACCAGTACGTAACTTGGTTTATCAAAAAAAAATTCATATGGCATAAAATCGAACATAAGGCAGGCACCCATTAGCATAGAGAACAGACAATTTTAACGGAAGAGATCGAGATATAAAGAGTACCCAGATCAGAAACTGCAGAAATTGAAAAAAAGCTACAACAGAGAAAAGCAAACTCAGATCAGATCTAGGGTTTCAAAATACAAAGAGAGATCCCTGCGTTGAGACGAGAGAGGAGAAGGGGAGAGAGGAGAGGGGGAGAGAGGAGAGAGGAGAGATACCTGGAGATTCGAGATCGCCGCTGAGAAACGAGAGGGATCGCCGCTGAGAAACGAGAGGGAGGAGGAGTCGGGATCGGGGGAGTCGTCGGGTCCGGATTTGGATTTGGTAAATACGAAGGGTGAGGGTGGGATTTCAAATACGTGTATTTGGGCTTTCAAAATCACCTCTTTAAAATCATTTGATTTAAAATCTCAGTCCAATTTGAGGCCCAAACAAATGATTTGGATTTGAAATACCCAGGATTTTAAATCCAGGGCCCAAATCTAAGTTCCCAAACGCAGCCTTAAGGTATTGTTTAAGGATTTGCTGAAAAACAAAGGATAAGAAAAGGAACAGTTGCAACTAATGAAAATATCAATGACTATGAAATTTGACACAGTGGATGGAATTTTCATATATGTTGAACGTGTAATCATCGGGATCGGAAACTAGCTAGTGCAGAGCATTTGTAAACATAATCATAAAACTAAGGAGAGAGATGAATCACAAAATCATGTCATATCCTTGAAGTTTCCTAGAAAATCAATATGCAAAGCAACTACAGAAAGCCTTAATTTACCCAAATCTCAAATTTCAGACTATCTACTCTAACAGAACAAGATAAAAAAAAGAAAAGAGGAAAATTTTTAGGAAGATGCTTGTTGATTTGTCGAAGAGAAAACTATGAACCCCAAATCAAATCCAAACCTCATCCCTCTCCTTCTCTTGTTCTCTGTTTTTTTTTTTTTTTTTTTTTTTTTCTTTTTTTTTTTTTTTTTTTTTTTTTTTTTTTTATTTTTTGCTAATTGGGCATGCGAACAGGGAGCTTTGAGGCGCCGCGGGCGGCCTCCTGGGCCTTGAGCTTGGCATCCTCCTTCTTGGCGTAGAAGGGCTCTTCGATCTCCCTCCTCAGGGTTCGAAGCCTTTTCTCGTCTTCGATCTCAGCGATTTCGCCATTTGGGTTTCTATGGTTTTATTCGGCACAAGAGGCGGCCGAAGACACAAAAGGCAGCAACGATTGAAGATAAGAAAGATGGATGCGTGATGGCGTCTGTGACAGGTTTGCGCGGCGACAGAAGCAGAGGCGGAGACAAGAGCTGAGGGTTACTCGGTTTTTTTTTTTGGGAGAAAAAAAAGTTGAGAGAAAATAAAAAAAGTTGAGAGAGAGAAATCTAAGGTTTTTGGGAGGTTGGGGGTTTCTTATAAGTAGGGATTTGAAGCGATGTATGTGAGGATAAGGAGGGTTAGTGAGCATTAATTGGGATATGTTTAGATTTAGTGGGAGATTTAGGGGGAAAATTAGGTGAGGGATTTGTGGGTTTGTTAGGATTTAAAATATTTAATTGATGGATCTGTTAAACAAACTGTGAGCAAAGATGTGGAAGAGGATTTGTTAGTGGGTATTACAACATCACAGCAAAACAAAATAAAAATAAAAATTAAAGAGTATGAAGGAAGGAAAATAAACTAATTACAAAATAGAAAAAATAAAAATAAAGAAGTAAAGATCGACACAATGAGCAAAAAGAAAAGAACAATAAGGGAAATCTAAACTATGAAAAAATATAAATCTATACTACAAAATAAATGCAAGAAAATAAATACATTGAAAGTAAATCTACTCTACCAAAAAATATAAATCTATACTACAAAATAAATGCAAGAAAATAAATACATTGAAAGTAAATCTACTCTACCATACATCAAAATAAATCTAATTCAAGAGGGTTCTAGCGCGTTGAATATCAAAAGCAAGAAAAAATATTACAAGAAAATAAAAAAGATAAAAGAGAAATTTACATTCCAAGAGGGTTCTAGCCTCTTGATGAAGAAGGCAAATCTTCATCTCATCTTCATCTTCATAATCAAACAAAGAGAAGAAAGAAAAAATATGAAGAGATGAAAATTATTTTATTAATTATAATAAAAAGTTATACTTTTGGAAGATCTTCTTAATTAAAAGTAACCCTCCTCTCTAAAAAGAAGTTTTTATAAAAATTTTCACACTTAAACCCCTCACTCTCTACCCCTATTTATAGCCTACAACAATGAATCAGAACCTCTGGATGAAACTTGGAGAACAAGAAGTAAAATCCAGCCAAAAATTTGCTTCCGCTGACTACCAATTGGTTAACCAATCGGTTAGCCAACCGATTGGCCGACCGATTGGTTCTTGGCAGATTTGTATGTTTATGAATTTCTTGACCCGAATTCTTTATGGATCCTTGAGCAGTCTAGGGTCTTCTTTTATCCTCATTTTTAGGCTTCAATAAATGGTAGAAAATCAGGACGTTAAAGTCTTTTGGGCTTTTATTCTTAATTCTTCATTAACCCGCATATTAAGATAAAACATATCATTATTGGTATATTTATTGATATAAAAATAGACCATGATGGCATAAAATGTTATTAAAATGTGATTATTAAATACTCCCACACCTAAACTTTCGCTAGTCCTCTAGCAAAGAGAGAAATTAAAAGAAAATAAATTCCTAACTCATTTTCTTAGGAATCGCGGTTGTATTTAGCGCATACAACAAGCCTTTAAACCCCTAGGTTACCCTAGAGGATGAGGTGTAGTCTCGTGAGGGTTTGCGATGAATATACCCACAAAATTCGATCAACTTGCCAATTTCAAGATGCTTATGAATAATTTATTCAAAGTAAATCTCTTGGAAAAATCTTTTCATTACAGTTATACAAAATCATGTCTAACTTAGAAATTTAATTTAAAAAAATTGAAAAGAACATGCTAACTCTTTGTTCAAATAATTTTTAAGTCTCTTAATCAAAATTATTTTTCAAGAATATATATAAAAATATAACTATATATATATATATATA